AATGTAGACAATGGTGATAAAAAATCTATTTTTTCGTAGCTCAGATTAAATATATAATTGGTACTGTACATATTGACCGCCAATACAATAGGTAGTCAATAGTTGATTATTTTTTATTGACCACAAAGCGCAATCGGCAAGAGCAAAGTCTACAATAACATATTATAATATAATAGCTAGGTACCTAGGTACCTATGCTATATTGTATATTCACATATTATAATAATTAAATTTAATATACGTATAAGTTATATTAATTGTTTAAAAATATGTTATTTGAGATTGACGTCTTTTTTCGTTCTATTAATTATGAGGTGTACGAGTATGAGCTTTTGCGGTTTGTTTGGTAACGAGGAAATGTTGATCTGCAAATTCACTGTGCAACCAATTGCATATTTAGGTTTTTGTCATAGAGGGAGGGGGGATATGATTTTATCCAATAGCCCCGCTTTTAAATCTAGAACCTTAAGTTAGAACTCCGAAAAATGTTGCATATAATATACAGCCTATGGGAGGATCGATCCCCTTATTCCCCCCCCCCCACCGTAAATATACCACTGAACATACGACATACGTATTTAGACTGCAACTGACATTATAGCACGATAGATAAAAACAATTGTACACCCATATATTTTTTAACCTGGACGCCCTGCAGTTATTGTTGTAGGTATATCATAAAAAAAGTCGAAATTCACATTCAAATTTTAGGTAACATTTCTATAGACTATAATCTTGAAAAATAAATAGAACTTATCGATTTGAGAGCATAATATACTAATAAAATACTAAACATTTTATACGTTATTAGGTAGGTAGGTATTAGGTAGGTACCTAACTATTACAATGTCTAGACTACACAGTACACACACCAGTATATACTCTATAGGTAGTAACTGTATCTTTTTCCGATAAATTATGTTTCTCGTTTAATCAAGTAAGTAAATTCTAAATATAAACTATAAGGTTAGCTAGCAGGTTAGAAATCTTAAATGACAATTTTAAATTTAAGGTTACCTATACTTGTATTCTTAATGTTATCGAACGAAAAATAGTATAATTTTCCATATGATATTACCTATAATTTTAATGTTTTTAACTATACTTAGACTCAAACTATTTCACCAATAGAAGTAAGAAAATGTATTATTTTTGAAAATTTGATAAATTTATTATTATATAATTACATTTTTAAGTTGTACATTTTTTATTTTTGTATAGTATATTTTTTGAAAAGAATAAAATACATTTCTTAATTTCTTCAATGAGGGAGGAAAAATATAAGTTCTAATAGATACTATTATTGCTATATTATTATTTATTACCTAGCAATATGTACGAGTATAACAAGATGTTTACCGACATCAAATATCAATAATTAATAACCCTATTCATTACTGTAATTGAAACCAAATTATGTAAGTACTGTCTATTATCTAATGAATTTGATATAATAGTCCTCATAAAATAAAAGGATGATAAAAAGGTATTCATTATCTAAAGAAGTAATTAAATTGAAACTTAATGACTACTATAATAATTATTTTTTCATTTTACAATTTAAAATAATTTGCAGCTATAATTTCTTAAAAGTACTCGTTTATAAAGCCAATGTGAAAAATATAAGAATGCATTACTTACTTATAGGTAGTTGATTAATTGTAAGTTTGTTAAATTTTTAAGATTTTACAATATTTTGAAATTGTATATTTATAAATATGTCAATGTCATATAATATACAAATAGTATATTTATATAATATATATATATATAGGTTAAATTATTGCTTGTTATTTTTTCCTATTTAAATATCATGTACTATATCTACCTAATTTATAAAAGCCGTGATGCCTAATAATATTATGTTATTATTTTTGTTAACTAAATATAGCAGGCGTAAGATAACTTACAACTTACGTTTTAAATTTAAGGATAACGTCTGATCTACCGAAAAACGGCGATGTACCTATCACATGTAACATAATCATTTATAATTGTGTAACCTAATAAAGAACTATGGTTTTAGGGCATTGTTATGATATATATCAAATTATGTATCTGACATAATATTCTATGTAGGTATGCCCGAATCCCACAATTAGTAGGTACCTATATAGTATTAGTACAATATACTATATACACTATATACCATATACATATAATAATATATTAATAATATGGTACAAGGCTTGGATAAAGAATTTTGAAGTATATTGTTGAATACAATCTAAATAAAACATGAACCTATTTGGTATGTAGGTATATTATAATATAATTTGAGAGGTTATTATTGTATTACATAGGTACCTACAATGATAAACTAAGTGATAGTTTTAAAAACAGAACTATTTTGTTTGTGTTTAAAAAAAGACAAATATTTAAAAAAAAAATGAAGTACTTCTAATAACATGTATTTTTGTTAAACATTGTATTTTTGAAAATAATAAAATAAAATGTTATTATTTTGTATATGATTGTGATAATTAATATTTTTTTTTTGTTTCAGAATGTTATGAAACAAAAAATATAGGTTAACAACTTGACATGTAATATAAAAAAAAAATAATAAATCACCATGAATATGCAAAAAAAAATAGATATACCTACATAAACATAATTACACAAAATTATTTATTCCAAAAATTAAAAAATTTATAGGATTATAATGAGTGTTCTGCTTAAGATAATCACTTATATAAACCACATAATATAGAGGTTTGTATTATATGTACATTTTTGTGTCAATTTTGTTATTTCTCCAAGCAATAAATTAATGTTTTTAACTGAAAACCGCGTATATAGGCACTAACATGTGTCAATGACCTGAAAAATCAAGAAACGCGTTATGTAAAATTCATATATTTTACACATCATTAATGTCACTGAATTTTATACTTTGGACGTTTTCAAAAAAAATAAAGATAAAAAGTAGGTAGGTACATATAAAAAAAAAAAAAAAACAATGAAATCTTTACTACAGGTTCATGTATACCTATTATATAAATCGTACGTTGTCTGAAAAACGAATTTAAAATTTAATGAGTTTACTACTAATAAATAGTAATAATAATAATAAACAAAACAATACACAATAAATCAACGTCACAACGGAATTCGTAATATTCACCTTATAGATATAATGTTATTATACCCTAGGTCGTCCAGAAGTCAATTATTATTATGAAACACGGAAGATGATTCTTTCAAATTCAATAAAAAATTAATTCGAATCTAAAATTAATTTCTTCATAGGTAGGTATTAATTAGTCATATTTAAATTTTAACGGTGAAGATACGATTAGCATATGGTGGCCCCTGTTAAAATAAGAGCTATTCAAAGGAAACCCAGCTGTACTATGAACACGGAAATCTGTATTTAAATTTTGAAACATGGGAAGGTACTATAAACATAAAAAAATTGCACACGTATCATTTTGTATATTCAAATTAAATCAAAATGTTAAGTGAACAATATTCTGGCTGATAGATAGATTGTATAATATGGGCCCATATAATATTAGTTATCGGTTATTAAATTGATTTAAAACGATTTTATATAATATTTCCATGGTTCATAATATAATATATTATAGACTGTTGACAATTTGTTTGATTTTAAATATAACTACAACTAACCTGTGAACCGAGTACCAACACTTTGTAACTGAAGCACATATTGTTGGCTTACAAAATAATATAACACTTCTCTAGTTGAGGATCAATAAAATATCTTAAATTATATAAACCATTACAGTATAGGTGTTATTTGATAATAAAAAAAAGGGGGAAGAGCGTTAGATTCATTGTAATGCAACACTATCACTGTCATCGTGTTTTAGTAAATTACATCACACACCATAGTGACGGTTAGACAAGTTTCCGGTTTTACAATCTGCATGATTTAACTATCAAATCGCAATTCACTTGACGCAAATCAATCACTATAATATAATAGGTACACCTATCATCACAATTGTGCAGTATGGAAAAAAAATATATAGCTCGAGGATTTATGATATGCATATAATATTATTGATTATAATAAACGATATTATACTGTTCAAAATATATAACCCCTAAATTGTTTTTCAGTCATATGCGCCAGTTTAAGACCAACCACTATCGTTTTTTTGCACCATTACACAATGTTTCGTAGATTAAATAAATATTTATTCATTATTTATATTTATATGTATTAATGTTAGCCGTTAGGTATTTTATTAGACAGTATTACTGCATTCAAGAAAATAAGTAATACAAAGACGAGTAATATAAATAATAAATTAATAAATAACACATAAAGGTACATAATGATTCATCGTCACTCATCAGTGATGACGAATATTGAAACTCATATTATTATTTATTGTTTTTTTTTTTTTTATATTTTATAGATTTGATTCATTAGAAAGATTAACTCGATTTAGGATTTTAATGTAACTTTATAAGAAATATTTTAACATTGAATAATGTGGGTACTGTGGGGGTTCAATAAACCTTTACATACTTTACAGTAATACAGTAATATTAAGAGTTTATCTTTATGGTTAAATTTACATATTTTTTTTATAAGTTTTTATTGAAATGCTGTGTAAATTAAAACGTCAAATGAATGAACTCCAAAAACACGTAACCTGATAATTACAGTTTTGCAACCAGAAAACCACAGCCTTGTTTATGATCAAACATTTTAACTCCCCCCCCCCTTGCTAATAAAGGTTAGAGTTTAAAATGTGAGGATGGGATTTGAAACCGGTAAAAGAGCCCTTGAATACATTTATTCGATAAAATCATACCAAATATATACCTACCGACAGAAAAATAAAAGTTTCTCCATAAAGCATAATAAAATAACAGCTGTGGATAGATACGGTATTTCGTCAAATCAAACCAAAACCGGCGAAGGGAAAAGGATAATAATAAGTTTCACGAAGGGGTTAGGTCGTGGGGATGGGGCTACGTGCAATGGGAACGTGCTAGGTATGTAGTTACCTACTAACCTGCAGTGGGCCTTGTCGGACTTGTTCGACAGCCTGGACAGTATGGGTATGTGCCTGTGCAGGGTGCCGAATATGCCACCAGCTGTGCTAGCGGAGGCCGCCGAACCGCCGGGTAGCACGGTGCCGTTAGGATCCGTCGGTTCCGGCGGCTCGTCCGTGACGGCCAACTTGACCGCCACCGCGGTGGTCGGCGTCATCGTCGAGCTGATCAGCTGTTCCCATGGCGTCGACATCCGGCAACCGGTGGCCGACCGCGGCCACGAGCATTTACCGCGGTCCCGACGCGGCGGGTCCGCCTCCACGCGCGATTCACACTGCACGCGGCGGTCGGGGAGCGCTCGCGCACACGCACAAACTGGCACGCACGCACGTGAACGCACTACACGTTGGTACTTAGACCGCGAACTATATCGTAATAAAAATAATTAAAATTTTTGTTATTACTACTATTATTATTATTATTGTATATTATTGCAACCGTGACACCGCTCTACGACGACGGACACGACGTCTTCTTCCGGCCGTTCATCGCGACAAAAAATAATAATTCATAAAGCGATAATAATAATTATAATAATAAAAATAAACGGTTTATTTTTATTATTATTATTGTTTGACGTCGCGAAATTCTAAAACATCACGACCGTGTGCGTGTGTATGTGTGTGATGTGTACACGCGACGTGACGAACGGATTAACAAGACCGTCGACCCGAGATTAACGTGCACTAATAACGCGCGGCGACGGATTCGCGCAGCAGCCGATGGCTAACATCGGCGGCGGCGGCGGCCCCCGTATATGCATGTGCGTGCGGGAGTGTGCGCGCGCCCGCCCGACTGGAAGTGGTCGGGGGGGAAATAGAGCCAGCCCAGCTCGTACGAAATATATTATTATTATAATTATATATAGTAAGTATTAGATAGGTACCTATAATATATAGTGTGTCTAATACCTATTTAATAATATATATTTTTAATACGTATTACTCGAGTACTGTTATGAGTTTATGACATACAATATAAATTATTATGTTTTATTTTATATTATATTTGTAACGGATATAATATGTGTTACCATTTGTAGAGGAGCCAGATGTACTATTTAATAGAACTTTGGGAGGACTTAATTATTTTTAAAATAAATCTCACATTGAATAGACAAACAATTAATTTGCTTCACCAAGTGGCGTATCTGAAACGTAACTGAGGTAAGAGATGGTAAATTTGTATTATTTTTTTATTTTATTCAATGCTAATTTGACATACTAAACTTAATATTATATATATCGATACAATTATTATATATATAAAATGGAAAAACAAATTCCTAACTTCAGCGAGGGGAGATGATCTTTCCATAGCCCCTCTCAAAGTTACATAACAACATGACACGCCACTTATCATATTTTAAATATTATTGTTCCTCTAACCATACATAATAATATATATATATTGCGTTTTGTTTGTGCAACTAAAGATATATAAGTACCTAGAATGCATATAAGATTCAAATTTGTTTAATAACATTTTTTCCTTTAATAGATCAATCAACAACTGTAATTTAAAATGTTTAAACTTAAAAAAAATTATAATATTTTCTTCAAAAATGTTGTGTTGTGCATTTTGTAACAATAATGACTTCAAATCATATATCATAAAAATATTTACAACACGTGTTACATGAATGATATAAATGTACCAAAAAAATAAAGAAACTCCTCGTAAATTGCAAAGAACTAAAAAAAATATAGAGGATGTGTCTCGTATGTTATATAGATATTACCTAAGTGAATAATTGTATATAGTGGTCCAAACAAATACTGAGTATAATATTGGCACGAGGTACCGGAAAATCATTTTTCAGGGAAAACGCGACAAATATAACATAATAATATAGTACTTGATATTTTCTTTGCTGCAGTATATTAGTAATTTATAAATGGTCTATTATATTTGGTATATGCACATGTCAATGCTCCGAGTATAATAATATATGTGTGTGTGTGAGAGTGCCAAGAGACGCCTCCACCTAACCCGGTATAGGTGTGCATCACATTATTATAATAATTCATAACTACATAATACGTCTATTCAGACAAATTTAGTGATATACAAAATGGTAACCGATGCGAATGATCCCAAAGCTGCAGTTTCTGCAAAGAATCAAGCGCATAAGTTGTATTATTAGTTTATATTAAGGAGACGTTTCGGTTGAAAGTTAGATACTTAGATAATATATCATCATAATATGAACCAAGACCGTTATCGTTCATCACTATTATTCTGTTCTATTATTTGTATACTATGTGCCTCCATTGAGTATTCCGGTTACGCCGATTAAAATATATAATTTAAATGTATTATGTCAAATATATTATAGTGAGGCACATTCGAGGGTTTAGGTAGTACTCTCTAAATCACTCATCATTCACCCCAATATTAATTAATAATAAACTACAGTCTATACTCAGGTCTCTTAGTACAGAACTTAATAATATATCAATATTCATACAGCATACTATAAAATATAGACGCTTAAAATTGATGTACACTAATATAATAGAACCTATATAATGATTTGCAATGATGCGAAATACAACCAGAGTATAATATTGAGATTATTCGTATATTGATATACCGCAGCCGATTGTTTTAGTTTTTTTTTTCGTGTTTTATTATAAGTACATTACTTTTAGATTGCCTGATTACCATAAGTAAATCATCGTGCATCGTTTATGGTAGTTTCAAGTGCTAAATAAATGATTCGGTTAAATTAATGATCAGGCAATATATATAAAGGTATGTTTAGGTATATTTACTTACCGTATGTCGGTATTACTACCTATATGTAGTTGCTGATTCAAAAAACGTGAATAAATAGGTACTGCAGAGAGAAAATAGTGTTGTACTTTATTATCAGTGGAATTTTAGAGTAGGGAGATGGGAAATCACTGTCTCTTATGTATATTTTATTATTTTTGAAATTAAATGGGTGGTTCATGAAAACAAATATTTAACATTGTTCGACGGCGTTTTCGATAAGGGTTTAATGGCTAATCGAAATGTTAAAAATGTCGATGAATAATAATGCATAATAATGAATAATAGATAATGCATCGTTGAAAACATATATTTTCCGGTTTTCAGTAAACACAAACCCCAAAATGATTTAAAAGCACCTATTATCTTTTATTTTATAATATACACTGCGTAACTAAAACATTTTTGATTTCTTGACGGGATGAAAAAAATAACATTATAATAATGAAGCTTTATTTGTAAAAAGGTTGTAGTAATATTGTATACATGAGGGGCCGGTACCTTCTGTTTGCCAAAATAGTGTTAACGGCACCGACTTTATGTACCTTGGGTCTTATAATATGTAATAGGTAGTATAAATACAGTCGAGTCTCAATAACTCGAATTTTGTATTGCCCCTAAAGTGTTTTTAAATTGTGTTTTAGATATTATATAACTCGAAAAATACAACTCGACTGTGTATAGAATATAGATTATATCGTTGGATCGCTGATAATCGCCAATTGGTATTGGTACCTATACATTATTTTAATTGACATTGTATATTTGTACAATACTGCACGAGTATCGTAAATATCATAATCAAGTGTAGTTTGGCGGTTTATACTTGATAAATTGATTTCTAGTTTAACTCTCACGATAAGATGTTGAAACGCTTTATTGTTTGCGTTCTTTTGACCACGGCTGTTCGGTGAAACCATCGCCCGGCGCCGTATGAAAAGTTGTGAATTACGTAAACTGGTATATTTAAATAAAAGTATAAAACCAATAAATGTTAGTAAAAATTGGAACTAAGCCATGCAATTTTACGTTCACCGTATATATATATAAAACCTATAATATTTCCACATCGGAATTATACTTATATAAACATAGCTATAGCCTATTTGGTGCACAAAGGGTGATATTTGTATGCACCTAAAACCGATATTTGTGGATACGAGGAGTGATTTCCTTTTTAATATTTTTAAATATTTACTTACTCTTATGATGTTTATTATTAATTTTTCATCATGTTTATCATTACCGATTATGTTATACACTATGTAATAATAATAAGGTTGGTGTTGGTATATACTATATAGGTATGTATAATATTATTATTTAATATAATAAATGGGATAATAGTATGTTGATAGGTATAGACTATAGAGGAGTGTTTCTCAACTTTTTTACTGGGGCGACCCCCCTTTTTAAATTTCAATTTTTTAGCGACCCCTACAAATATATTTTTTTTTGAGAAACACTGCTATAGAGTGTTATATTTTGTATCTTTAAGAATGCCTAATTAGAATGATGTTTCAAGGGTGGTAATACTTTAATAGTAGAAAAATATTGGATCTAATCGGTAGAGTTCAAAAAAAAAAAATGCCCCAACACATTTAAAAATAATATAGGAAAAAAAATATGGAAAAACAAACATTTTGATTTTAAGCAAACCGATTTTTCGAAATAATATATTTGTTTTTTTTTCGTAATTCAAAAATTAATACTTAAATTTAAACTTTAAATTTCTTCCAAATATTTCTATTAGCATAATTTATATTTTATACTATACCTACATGATATAATGTTCAAAATATTTTGTGTTATTTAATATCAATTATAGATGTTTACAATTTTTGAATTTTTTTTCAATTCATGTATGATTAATTTTTTATTTTAAAAATTTAAAAATTAAATACATAGTTTCTTATTATGTATTCATAATTCAATTAAATAATGTAAAAAATAAGGTCACAATTTTTTTTTTAATCATATTAAGTTAAAATTTTTATTAATTTTAAATTCATCAATAGCATTTTATTTTGTAGGTAATACATATATAACATCTTTTTATTTCAACACCTCAAGTTTGAAAATGTAATAAAAGATTCTCCATAAATTGAATCCCTGAAAATAAAAAAAGCTTAGAGTAAAGCCATACATACATTTTTTACTATCTATTGAAGTTCCTAAAAGTAACTCAAAATTCTTTCTGTATATTATTTTTGATGTGTTGAACAAAGCAATCAATTCTGTTAAAAGAAAACCAATACTCATTGCATACACAATATATTATTAATTCAGAACAATAGCAGACAATTCATTAAACGTAGGTACACAACCTCATAGTTTCTCAATTATATATATATATATATATATATGAAACATTGCATTTATATATAAGTTTATTTTTAATTTTGGATTGTCATT